GCATAAAAAAAAGAAGGATCATATATAATTCGTATCACCACAGAAAAATAATGAACATAATCTTACAATTTTATCCCCGGTGAAACACTTCATCTGGTTCATCCGCGACGCGATGGCGCTGTAGTGATGCGCGTGCACCTCCATGATATCGGCGAGAACCAGAGAGCTCGAGATACAAAGTGTGCCCGAAAACAGTGTGGCGACCTATCTGGTCCAACCTCTCTCTCTCACGTATTCACACGTTGGCCGTATACCATTCGTCCTTGATCGGCCGTGTATCACCAACAACACCTTCGAACCAACCAACCAACCAACCAACCAACCAACCAACCACTAATAAAACGTGCCCATCCACCGGAGGAGAAAGAACCGAATTCGATAAATACAAATACACGATTCCCTCCACTTTTTCCCTCAGTAATAATCCCAAGTACACGTTACAAAGTTTCGTAGCCGTCGGCGACCAACAACACGCTTCCCTTTGCGCCGCGTACCATCCCGCGTGGACGGATGATCCTCGAACGCGCACGATCCACACACGATCGTGAAAGCACGGGGAGAGGGGAGGGGGAGGGGAAGGGGGAAGAAGGGGAGGGGAAAAAAAAAAAAAAAAAACAAAAAGGCGAGCTTGTACACGTGAAAGCGGCGGCGGCGACAACCGCGTCTACGCGTCTACGCGACGCAAAAAGCGGTCACGGAGTCTCACGACGCTCGCGAGTTGATACAAAAGCGGGAGGAAGAGGAGGAAGAGGCGAGAGCACGCGCCACGGCGAGAGGAAAAAGGCGAACCGGTCCCGACCGAAGTCAGCAGCAAACTGACTGGTCCGTGGCTGCTTTGGGCCTCTGAATGCCTCGCGAGAGGCCCCGGGTTCAGGTACCCCGGCCAGCCGCAGCAGGAGCGCGGTCCCTCTGGTGGGGGGAATAAAAAGGTGAGCCTAGAAAGGACCTAACTAACGTTGAAGGGGGACCGAGGCCCCATCCACGGCCAGGCCTGACGAGGACGGAGTTAGGTTGGGTAGGGGGGGCGTGGGACAGAGAGCGAGCATTGTGGAGCGGATCACGAGGGGCGAGGAGGGGGCGGCGTTTCGAGGGAAAGGGGCAACCAGGGGGCAGCCTGGCCTCCTCGCAGTCCCCTCCGCCCCTATTCAATTATATTTCTCCGTGGTAAATGCCTATATTGTTACGTTTGTCAATGGCGAGCTAAGTGAGGGTCACGTAGACGGATAATGCCTTCTGAATTTTAGCCTGCGACCCCGCCGCGGTTCTCGTTCTCTCCGGCTTCTCTCCGTTCCCTGTTTAACAGAGGAGTTTCGACCGACCTCGGGGTTTACACGGGGTCCCACCTGTTGTACGTTACGCCGATTCCGACCGGGGTGAAAAGTCGTTTCGGACGTTGATCTGTTGACAAGATCGGGAAGATTGGACAGGAAGAGAGGTTGCACTGGGTGACCCGGTAATGGGAGCAGGAAGAGGGTTTCAGATATACTGTGTACTTGCTACCGGTGTTAAATAAAAGTAGAATATGAATATATATCTTCCTTTTTTATTATTATTGGATTGGACTTATACGTTGCATAGTTTTCGTCTTTTATCCGCAAAAAGTTTGAAAATTATATAAGGGTTTTTTATTTTTTTTAAATGTGTAATAGATAACGTGTATTTTATTATTTTGTTTCAGGACTACGAGAACTATGAAAATTTTTTTTTTTTTTGTTTCATTGTAAGTACGGAATAATTTGAAAGTAAAAAAAGAAGGTAATTTAAAAGTATAATCTAATCGTTGTCAGAATTGCTTAAGATTAAGTTCTATCGAAGTTTTGTTTTTTCTTTTTTGAATTTCGATCGAAATATAACGTGTATTCTTCTCGTATTATTTCTTTAAGAATTTTAATTCTATAATTATTTTCCAAATGTTCGTTAATAGACTAATTTTTTATAGTAGTATTGCATTGTGCATCTTACTATACATTGTGTATATTGAAAATGTATTTGTTATATTTTCTGTGATTTCTTGTGTTTTTTACTATTCATTATTTGAAACATTACAAACATTATGTCATTTGTAATTTGTGTAAATTTCGTTCATTGAGATGATAATATGGTGTAATACATATTTATCATTTCAATGATTTTTAAAATATATTTCGTTTAATTTAACGTTATTTCTTTTTTTTTTTTTTTCAGAAAGATTATGAATCATCCTGTTTCACTTGACAACAAGTTGGAAACAAGTGATCGCTAAAAATATCGTCATATGCGAATCATATCATAAGATAGATATTTCGACTAATAATAGAAAATATTATCAGTTACACGGACTAATAAAAAAAAAAAAGTTGCAATTTTTTTGATAGCATAGGACAAAAAAACACTTTACGAATTTTTTGTTCTTAGTAATTTAAAATGTTTTTATCGCTATCAAATATGCATGAATGTTAAATAGATTTTTTAAAATATTTTTTTTCTATATAGTTTATTTTTGTATTTATTATATTGATAAACGCCATTAATATTATTTTTCGCTTCTTATCGTTGATGTTATCTTCATTACATTCATTCGATATTATTATACTATTTTTAAATTGAAATGTATGATTAATGCGTATATACTCTATGGACTTTAAAGTTAGTTTTTTCTTTTTCTTTTTTTCTTTTTTTTTTCTTTTTTTGCCAAAGACAATATGCAAATTCTATCTTCCAACAAGGACATGGAACGAACTTTGTTTTTCTAATCATAATTTCAAACCAGAACTATAAAACGATATTTCATAATAAAAAGAAAAAAATTTTAAAATGTTTAAAAAATCTTGATCCGATAATTATTTATATATATTAATAATAATAAAATAAGAATAGATTAATAAATAATGTTTTATTTATATTTTATAAAACAACTTATTGAATTGCATTTCTTTGATACGAATGAAACAATTTTCAGTCTTTTACTTTACATTTTCAATTTATTTTTATACAAAGAATCTTTCTTTTTTTTTCTTTTTTTTTTTTTTTTTTTTTTTTTTTTTTAGTTATATCGTTTGAGATAGATTTTGAGAAAGGTTTTTAAAGATATACAAGAATGGTCAGATGAAATATTATAGGTAGATAATTTAATAGAAAATTCTAAAGATTAACAAATACAAAAGGTATGTAAAATGCCTGTTAAAGCTTATTTTTCAAGTAATAAGCAATTTAATTTTGCATCAGATAAAGCAAAGCAAAAAGAGAAGCAGATACTCATTCTACCGCCATATTCAACATACGAGGATTTCTTATTGCATTACTATAATCTTCTATGCTGTTTATACAAGGTTTTATTATTCGTTGTACAATCAAGGAGGGATGATACTTCATAAAAAAAAATAAGTCGAAAATTAAATTTTCTCATGAAGTTTTGTTTTATTTTCACTTCATCTACAGCAAAATTAAATTGTTTATAAAAAGAAACAAATAATAATCGAAAAATAAATTACAAAAAACATTATTGTACATCAACTTTCATTTATTTTATTTTATAACAGAATATCGTCTCTTATCTTCTTCTTACTTCGTCAATTCAATAATTATCCACAATCTATTCTTATTAAAATTTATTAGAATAACGATAAAATTTTTACAATGATATTAATTTTTAATATAAAACCTCTTTTTCAATCAATTTTTCAATCAATTCTCTTTCGTTTCATATTCTTTATTCACTCATCTTAATTACACTTAACATAAAATAAGTGTAACTGTTTTTCTGATAAATAAAAGAAAATAAGTTTCTTGAAATCTATATACACATTCATGATGAATCGATTTTAATTGTTGAAAACATTTAATCGAGCGAAAAAAAAAAATATCACTACATTGCGAGTAATTATGAAATCACCTTCTTTTCGATAATACACGTTGCGATTTCTCGAGATTGGTACGTTACTTTTTTGGAATATTAGATAGTGAAGGAGAACGGTATTACGTAATGAACGACAGTTTGTTATTAGGCGAACAATGAGCCGGGTATGCAGTTCCAGCTGCTTCCGGTTGAAAACTTTTTCTCGTGACCATCCTCGCGCGACCAGCCAGCATAGAAAGTGCATTTTAATCGTACGAGGAGAACGTATGCGATACGAAACGAGACCAGACCGATATTCTTCTCTCTTTCTCCCTCTCCATCGGTGGAACAGGGTTGGCGGGAAACGACGACACTCGACCAGGCCTCATTAACGAGGGATTTTAATTTAATTTCATTCGTCGTTTGATTCTGTAACGGTCGCGAGAAACGAATAAGAGAGAAAAAGAGAAAAAGAAAAAGAGAGAGGAGAGGGGGAGCATTGAATGGGGAACGAGTGGGATAATAAAAAGAACAGGAAGTATAATGATACGGGATTCCAACTGAAGATGAGAAATTATTAATCCACGAGGCACGATGCATATATAAGATGATACAGTTTATGATGTAATAAAATTTGGATATTTAAAATTAACGGAGTTTCTCGAAAATTGTAGGTCTTTGTAGATAAATTGAAAATATAAATAAATTTAACTTTCACATTATAAAAAAGAAAAATTTCCTCGACAATTTAAGTCCCCTCATCTTCTTTAATTCTATATAAACACATTCTCCTATACTATAAAGAAAAACAACATTTAAAACTTATTTATGACAAAACGATATAAATTTTGATCTTATTTCTTAACGTTTTAAACAACTTTATAATACAGTTATAATAACACCGAGAAGTTATTGCTTCCCATATTTGTTATACTTTTGTTTAAAAACAATAAAAATGTTATTTTTATTTTTCTTTTTTTTTTTTTAGTATAAATAAAACAAGAGACATTAAAAACTATTAAAATCTAAAAATACACCAAGAGAAAAACCTTGTCTTGCCATATAAAACAATATATATTGACTTAATAAAAAAAAAAAAAATTATCCTTTACCATAATATAATAACCATATGTCTTCTTCTCATAAATCTATTAAATTATTTAAATTAAATTAAAATACACCTTACCTTAAGCGTACAGTTGTTGTTGTGATTAACCGGTGGATAAGCTGGATGACTTGGTAAGTGGGGGTGAGGGTGGCCTGGGTGATGTGGATGATCGGTCATCATTCCAGCAGCGCCGTGATGATGTCCATTGCTGCCCATGCCCTGGCCAGGCTGAAGGGAGCCGTAAGGGGTAGCTGGGTCAATGGCGGGACCGTGAGGAGGCGAGTGAGGGCTTGGCAGGTCCGGGGTGGTGGTGGTGCCACCACCACCGCCCCCACCGCCTCCTCCACCGGTGCTGTAGCCATGATGGGGCCCAGAGTGATGAGGACTGCTCGAGAGAGAGGGATGATGCGGGTAGGCTGCGGAGTGGCCCGGGTGGTGGGGGTTCATACCAGCGGTTAGAGCGCTCGCCAGCTTGACCGATGAGAGGGTGGGCCCGACGAGCCCACCAACAGCTTCCCACGACGAAAAACAAAAGCTCGTGGCCTATCTAACTGGAAGCTTATTGGGGAGCGGCACTGCCAGAACCGGCTCTCTTCTTCCGGTTCTCTGCTGATACCTGAAACGAGAAATAGCAAGGTATATACAAGGGTTGGCTTTGAGGGTTGTTCGCCGGAATGTTTGGATTTATGATGTCCAATGGCCTAGTGGGCGGTGATGGAGAAGGATTATGGTTACAAGTGGAGGTTCGAGATTGGAAACGGTTATTGTACTGTTAGGTAGGTAAGTAGAGAGGGAAGGAGAGAGACAGAGAGAGAGAGAGATTGTTTAATGATATTATCACCACTGTTTTTCGAAAAATAAGTCTGGAAAAGCGGTTATTATGAAGAATCTATTATTTTAATCCTCTTTAATCTAATTTTTCTTTTGTAGCAAGGAAAATTTATTTTTGACAGGATTTTAATTACATCTTTATTGTTCGTTGTTTTGGAATTGCATTTGGAAATGCAAAGTTATAAATTTTGATTCAGAAATGAATGGTACAATAATTAGATATTGTATTAAATTTCAGCAGAAAGTTAATTTCGAAATTACGTATAAAATAATCTTGGGTTTATATCTTCAACTTAATGTACATGTACATATAATTAGGTTACGTAAAGGGATTTGAACGCCATCCACAGTACCTAAGTAATAAAAGTCTATTGCTTGTTTTCTTGACCAGCAACCACGTGTTTCTGATTGCAATCTACTTTAATTTATGACGATTTATAACATCATAAAAATACCGCTATAAAATTAAATTGGAAAATGTTATATAACAATGCAAAAATCGGCAGGAATCCTGAAAAAAAAAAAAATATTCAGAATCCCGAATCGTAATTCTAACGAAATCTACTTAAATAACTGTTGCAAAGTTTTATAACAACTAATTTTTTATCGTCCATTTACGACAGAATATTCTACATTTTCCACAATTTGATAAAATTCAAAGATATCATTATCATTACAACAATGATGACGAATGTTCTAAATGTATCAGATCTAACCAATCTTTGTAAAAATTACGCTTAAAATTCTCGATATATAATAATCCAAGATATACTCTTTAACTTTAATTAATCCCAAAATCAACAGTATCGATCAACAAATTCGATCGATGCAAAGTTCGAAACTTCTTTCATCACGATTTGATTCGTGGGGAAAAAAAATCCCCCTCCCCCCTCCCCCCTTACTAGAGGAGAAAGCACGATATTTAGGCCGCGACAGTTTCCCCCGAACTGGTCGTAAAGACGACCGCCGCATTACATCCCCCCCTCCCCTCCCCTCCCCTCCCCTCAATGGAACTGTGTGCCCTGGCTGATATTAATTTCACCGGCGTGGCCGGGGTTCCGTGCAATTTTATTGGCCCTTAAGACGACGCGCAACGATTTCATAATATCCACCCACCACCCACCCTCGCGATTCCAATGAAACAGCAGTTCGTAGCGAAAACGATCCGTGGCGAGAGTGAAGAGAGGGAGAGGGGGGGGGAGGAGGAGGAGGAGGAGGAGGAGGAAGGGCACCTTTTACGATAGGGCAATTCGCGAAAGAGTTCGTCCGCCGAAGGAATATTTTAAATTCAATCCGGATGCAACGGTAGTAAAGCATGATGGAGTAGTGAAGGGGGATGGGGAAGGGAGGGTGGTCGAAGGGAGGGTGATAAACGTGGCCTTGTTCGCCCTCGTTTCTTCTCGCTTGTTTCCTTTGAGATTTTTTTTTTTTCTTTTCTTTTCTTTTTTTTTCTTCCCCCCTCCATCTTTATTCTTTACAGGATCACCCCCGGGAAGGCAGGGAAGACAGAGACGTATCGAGGATTGTTGTTGTAACTAAGGGGTACGAGAATAGAGAGATTGGCGTGATAAACATTTTACGAGGATCAATGCTCGATTGGTTTATTTGTTTATCGAGTGATTATAGTCGAAGGACTATACAGGCCATTTCAAAGTTTCCAGTAACTTATCGTGCAACTTGCCTCGATTTCCTGAGATTACGAGTGGAAAATTATATGATTGATTGATTAGTGGTAAGGCTTTTTCTTTTTCTTTTTTTTTTTTTTTAATATTACAGTTGAAAAAATAATGTTTCCTTTCGGATCGATGATTCTCAATTTATCTATATGGATTCTCTTATACGAAAGTTAAACTATCCAACGAAGGTAAATATAATCTGAAATAATATTTATATTATTTCACGTGATGTTTAGACAAATCTAATCTAATTTAACTTATTAATTATACGATTTACTTGATTTTAAGACACTCTCTCTTGTGGTATTATTCTGTTTTGAAATAATCTACTCGAAGTCAAAATAAACACAAAAGTTGGTATATAAAAATGTCGATTAAAAGAATATTTATCAAGATATGATATCAATTTTCCAAAGATATGATCCACAAAATGTGCTAGTCAAAAGTGTGTTTTCGTGAGTACAAATAAATATTGGCGTGCAAGTGAGGAAGAATTGAGAATCACTGTTTTAGACAACTGATTGGCGGATAGAAAACGTTGAATAGGGGAACGGAGAATTTATATTTCCTCAAGAAACTAAATTTTTTTGCGGCTGATGTAGGCGTGACGACATCAAAGGTCTAATTTTCCGGCCAATAATTCGAATCGGGATCCAAGAAAAACAGAGATTCGAAGGAATTGATGGAAGATTCTCGTTTCGATCGTAGAGCTCCTCAATGGAACTACAATGGCACCGGAAACGAGGCATTCGTTGCGGTAAGAAAGAACAAAGCTCGGTCTAATTACACCCCTTCATGATCTTTTCTAACGTTCAATCACTTTTTCTCGTTCTCGATTATATGGCGTGATAATATCGTTAATGTCTTCTGATTCGTCACAGCTCGGTTGGTGACATACGTATTCCTCGAAAAAGCGAATTCATCGTAACAGATTTAATCATATCTTGCATTAATGTTGAAAAAGAATTGTTGAAAAGTGATAAACGTCAAATGATTCGTTTTTTTCTTGATTTAACATTTTGACTTGATATTATAAAATAAGATTATTAATTAAAGAAATATATTATCCTGACTTTGATTTAAATAACAAAATATCTTGGAAATTAATTTTTATCGAAATAATACAACAAACAAAAATTATAGAATAGATTTAGAGAAATATAATATTTAAAAAGATTCTAGATCCTACTTTTCCTCGAAATATATCTTTCAATAAAATTTTTAAACTGAATTAAAATAAAATATCCTGCATACTTTCGCGTGAAGTATTATGAAGTAATTAACGAATTAGTAAATTTTTATTTAAATTTAAAAAAAAAAATAAAAACAGAATCTTCAAAATAATTCAAAACGAACAATTCCAAGGGAACCAGTTTACACAATTGCGAGCTACGAGTTCGATCTTCGAAATTTCCATCGAAAAACTCATACTTTCCCGGGAATCGTTAACTCGAGAAAAACGTTGGGCGAACAATGGCCGCTCGATTGGTTATCAAACAGCCTCGTTAAAGGCGGATAATCCAACGTGGCGGTGAATAGGGGTACTAATTACATTAAGAGGCGACGAGAGTCGAAGCAGCGGGTGAAGAGTGTAAAATTCTCCTCGACCTGTCGACGAAGGCAAGATGAAATGCAAATCGGTCGGTGAAAATTTTCGTGAAGCGGGCCGGCCGGCCTCCGGCATTAGAATTCATAAAACGAGCTGACCTGTCCCTTCGTTAAGGGCCGTGAAACCGGCGTGTGACCTGCCCGACACGCCCACCTTAATTAACAATAATCGTCCTTCCTGGTAGCTCAGCGGGTGTCGCTTCGGGACAGGATCGTCCACCTATACGAAACTTCTGTCTTTTTGTCCTGGACGAGTAACGAGTGCCTTTTCTTCTCCTCGTCGTGCCACGTCGCCCTATTTTGGTACCTGGTATTTAAGGTTATAACGGTGCTCACCGTTTTCGAGATGAAACAGCGTTTGGAACGAAGGTAACTTTACAAATATCCAATCTATTCTTCTGTATCTGTTCTTCAAATGTTGCCTCGTTTAAGGGATACCTGGCTCGACCTGAAGCTTTGTTAATTTTAATCTTTACTAATTGGAAAGTTAAGATTAGAAACTGTGAGTGACACGAGAGACGAATCTTGCGTGCGCATGCGCAGATACGAGAAATGTTTCTCTACGTTGGATATAGTGATTTTTTTTTCTGTTAAAATGTGATCAGTGTCGAGTATATTTTTCTTTCACGAAGTATTGATGAATAAATGTTTGTAATGTTTGTAGGATGGATTGAATATATGAAAAATGGAAATGGTGTGTTATGTAATAATCTTGTAAGAATTTATTTATTTATATGAAAAATCTAACCTGATCTAATCTAATCTAACTATTCTTAGATCTAGAAGAATCCATTTACTTATGTAAAAATATAATTGTTTCTTCTAAGAATCTATTTATATAAAGCTTATCTAATCTGTAAATCTGTTTATTAATGTAATTGATTAATGTAATTGAATGTATTGATATTGATTCGTCAGAAAATGCATTTTTTGGTTATAAATAATAGATCTAATAGATTGTATTTATAAGAGATATAAATGTACAAAAATCTGTAACAGGCATAATATCTAAAAATATATAAAATATTGAACATGAAGTGCTCATTATAATATTTAGATCAAATCTTTATTTAGATTTTTACTTCCGTAATTTTGATGATGAAAATATGAATATCCATAAACATGTGCAGTCTACAAATAGTATTCTCCACTATTAGTTCAAAATTTTACGATTTTACAGCTCGTGGTTCGTGTGCAGTGACAGGTTTAGTGCGCTTTTTCCTAACTTATCGTCATATGCGAAACAAATATAACTTTTAAAAGAAATTTCGAATTAAGAGAAATGAAATTGAGATAATAATATTAGTATTATATATAACAGATGTATATTTAGCATTTTAATGATCT